GCAACTTCTCCAGACACATTCTTTCCTTCTGAGTCGAGACCCCCCCCTGCCCCCACCACCCCCCAGCCCCAGACAATGGCGCCTTCAGCCCCCAGAGATGAATGGGGCCTTTGAGAGCTGCACGCCACGGGGTCAGCAGCGGCCACTGGTCCCAGGGCCGCCCAGTCTCCAGAGATTGGAGCCACTAAGCTTGAGCTAGTGTGGAGCTCTTAGAGGAGGGAAGGTATCCTATGGTCCCTGTCTTAAGAGTGGTGGCTCTAGGAAAGAGTTTCTCCTGGATCAGGCAGTTCCCATTAAAGAAGGATTTTAGGGGGCTGGGGAGAGAGGAATCTCCCTTCCCTTGCCAGGGAGAACACAGTTGGGTGTCCCCTCCTCAGGAGGCAGCAGAGCAAGGTGCGTGGGGACAGAACCTACCAAGCTTTTGCTACCTCCTTTCTCTTTTTCCCAAATCAGGATCCCATCCTCCCTTCAGACAGGGCTAGCCCTGGGGTCTGGTCCCTCCTCCCTGCTCCTGTCTCCCCTCCCCTTCCCACACTCCAGAGACTACCCAGTTTCTATGGAAACAAGCCCAGGATGGCTCTGCTGGGAGGGCAAGACCAGTACTGCTGGGAGTGGAGGAGGAGGGGGTGGCAGGGACAGGAATTGAAAGTAAAGAGCAGGAGGTGAGTTCCAGCCATTCCCACGTAGGGACAGAGACCTGTTGAAAACCAAACTCACTGTTGGGGGAGAGAACATCAAGAAGAGCAGCCAGAGATATAACTGCATGATATGATCGAGGGAGAGTCAGGGAGCTCCTTGTTCTTCCAGTTCTCAGTGTTGCAGACATCTAGAAGGACCCCTCAGAAGGAAAATGAGTGGGTGAAAAAGGAAAGGAGATGGGTAATACCAAGATCTCTGCCCCTTTCTATTTCACATGAGGCCCTATCATTTCACCTCTTCTGTGGACATGTTCACTTGAGAGAATGTGGCCCCCAGGAAACCAGAGACTCACAAGAAAGAGGAGTGGAAATTGGAGCAGTGTGGGTGTTCAGGGCTGTTCAGGAATCACCCATAAGCAGCTGGACTTAGAGGCAGCCAGAGTCCTAGGAGTGTTGGGTACTTACATAGCATCCGTCCCTAGCACCTCTACTGAGTTGTGGGGCAGCAGGCCTGAAGGCTGAAGCTCCCTGCCCACCATCCATCCAGTCAGGATGCTGGGGTATGAGAAGAAAGTAGAGGTGGCCAAGTAAGGGTTGGGAGCAGAGAAGGTGAAAGAAGCCTGAGGAAGGAGGGGTGAGGAGAAGGGTGAGTCAGTGGGTATAGATGTGTATGCCTAGGGCAAGTAGGGAACTTCTTAGGGGCTTGACTGTCAGGTCCTGGGAAGAGAGCACTAGCCCTCACACCCTCCCCATGCTTCCACCTCAAGCAAAGCTGCCTAGTGGGGAGCGACCACCAGAAGTCTCAGAGTCCTGGGAGAATGTGGCCGGGGTGGGGCGATGTCTCTTGGAAAGGAGCTTCCCAGGTTATCAGGAGTTTCAGCAAAGCTTCCCCGGGGAAGTGGGGGGAGTGAAAGGGGTCCCTTAGGAGCCCTGGCTTTCCTGGACCCAAGCCATGGGCTCTCTCTTGGCCATAGCCCCTAGCGCAGCCAGTTTGGTGTTTGCTTATTTTGGTTATTTTTTGATCAGATATTTTGGCGCTGTGCACACTGCCTCCTGTTGCCATGGCAGCCGTGACAGGGGCTGAGGCACCGTGAGAAAAATACCAAAATTAATGAGTGAGCGAAAGTGCAGCCGAGAGAAAAACAAGGTTAAAAAAAGAGTTAAAACAGTAATGAAAACAGGCTTCCCAGCTCCACGGCAGAGCAGCTGCTGAAGCCTCCCCAGAGCGGCAGCCCCCGCCCGGCCTCCGGCTCCTGGCATCTCCCAGACCTCGAGGCAGAACTTGCTTGCCTTCCCCCACCCAGCCAGCCCCAAGTGCAGCAACAGACACTCAGAACCATCCCAAGCACAACAGTCAATCAGCTCCAACAGATCAGTCCCATCTCAGGTTGCATGCTGCCTCCCAGAACAGCATCCCGGGGAACAGCTTCTCGTCTCCTAGGCAACAGAGTCTGGGCTATGGCCCCCACACAACAGTGGTCCAGCCATATTACTAGGAAATGGCCTCCCCGCTACACTTGAGCTTCAGAGGTATGGCTGCAGGCATAACAGCATTCCAGCTAGAATCCTGCACACAGTAACAGCACAGCCACCAGCCTGGGCAACAGCATCTTAGCTATAGCCAATCCCTGGTACGCTGTCATCACAGCTGTTGCTTCGGGACCAATAGCATCCCAGCTACAGTCGTATACACAACAGTAGCTTTGCTCTTATCCCAGGTAACAGACTTCCTCCCAGGTATAGGCTCCTAGCAACAGCCTCTCATCTCCTAGGACCTAGGCAATGGCTCCAGCTACAGCTCACCTACGTCATATTATTGGAGAACTGCTTCTTTGCTGTAGCCATTCTCAGGGATGCAAAGCTTACACTTATAGCTCCAGGCCCAATGGCATTTCAATTTCAGCCCTCCCCTCAAAATGCACACATGAACACACACATGAGCACACATGGCTTGCAACAGACTCTTTGGTAAGCTGGTTGTTGTTCAGACTACAGCCTGTGCACACCAGCATTGTAGCATTGCAACAGTATTTGAGCTGCCATCAGAAACAACATCCTTACTGTTACAGTGCCAGGCCCTCCAAGACCCTAGTCCTCTTAGCCAGAGCCCATCCCAGGTACACATGTATCACAGCAAGAGCCTACAGGCATGAGAATACCAACCGCTTCCACACGTAGCATCCCCCAGGATCCAATCCCTGGCAACAGTCTCAGCTGAAATCTCAGGCAGCATCACTTCCAGGAGCCCCCAGTGCACAGTGTTCTACTTGCCAACCAGGTCCCAGTTTGGTATGAGGCCAGGAGCCTGGCTTCTCTCCTCTTCAGATGCCTTCTCCTAGTCTCTGCCCTTTGCCTGCCCTTCTTTCTGGGGAACACAGTACCATTCCTATATCTACATTGCCCCAGGCTTAGGTCCATCCCCCACCCAGAGCCTAGCCTGGCAGCAGGGGTAAGAGGAGATGGGGAGCAGGGAGAAGAGTAGACACACCCTTTGTTGCTCTGGCCCAGTTCTGCTCCTACCACTTGGTGCAGGATTTGGGTTTGATGGTGGTGGAGCAGGGAGGACTGAGGAGAACATCTGGGAAATTAGCATTTCCTGCCCAGCTCTGCGGCTGCCTATCTTGTTCAGTCCTGAGCAAGGAATGAGAACAGAGGAGCCTTTGAATGGCTCCAAGCAAGCCAACTGGGGAGGGTTTGCTGCAGTGGGCAGTGGGCACATGCTGGGGGCAGGGAGGATGGGGCAGTTACTCTGTGGAAGATTTCTTCTCTCTGGGCCACTGATTTCTTCCCTGGAGCTGTGCTCAATGATGAGGAGAGTGTGAGTTTTGCAGGGGACAGTGATAGAGAAGCCACTTACAAGACAGATCCTCCTTTTACTAATTCACCCCATCTCCCACCCAGAACCTCCTACATGGGCTTCTGGGGTTAAGGGCTGGGAGTAGGGACTAGAACAGGGCCCAGGCCAGAAAGGGAGGCTGGTTGAGGGGAGCTGCTCTGTAAGAGATCTTGGGCAGTTCTTGCTTACCCCTTTAACTGACCAGAGATCCTACCTTACTCTGAAGAGTGTTCCACAGAGAGGTGGGGAGGAGGGGAGAAAAAGGAAAGAGGGAATAAAAGAGCAGTAGGGATGGGAAAATGGGGGAGGTCAGGAAAGAGACAGAGGCTATGACAAATACAGGCCCAGCAACCAGTCATCCCGCAATAGGCCTTTCCAGACCCAGTGCCAGGCCTTGCCAGGGATAGCATTCCTCGTTCTTACGACCGAGAACACCCTGGCTAGGCCTATATGTGGCAAAAAGCAGGAGGTCATATTGAAGTGGAGCGTTTTGTAGCCTGGGTTACCAAACCCTGAGCGCAGGAAAGGGAGTTCCCAAGCTGCTCAGAGGCCTCTAGATGGCACCAGAGAGCCAGAGCTGAGCTGGAGAAACCAAGAATCGGAGTGTGAGACACGGCGTGTGACACCGTGTGTGACTCGGTGAGTGTGAGTGTGACAGGGAGCGTGTGGCACTGTGAGGGCGTGTGACACAGGCCGTGACACTGCGCGGCCTCGTGGGGCAGGGGCCCCTGTGAGTCTGTGAATGTGTGTATGTCACCGGTAAATACGTGGGGCCACAGCTCCTTCCCGCCCTGAGGGCAGGTGACAGGGAGACCCTCGAAAAGCCCGAGCTCTGGCGTGTCACCTCATTCTCACTCTTGTATATTCCCCCCATCCTCATTCTAGGGGAGCCCCCGCGTCCCATTACCCTCCTCCTCCCAAGGCCCCCTCCATAGCCCCACCCCCACGGCTTGCTGCGGCCACCGAGGCTGACCGCTTTGCGGCTTCGGCCAGAGGGGGAGGGGCGGACTTCCCTGGAGTGCAGTGGGAAGGGAGGGCCACACGGGGTGATCTGGGGGTCTGCGCGGGAAGAAGGTGGATGTGGAGAAGCAGATGCCCTTCAGGGAAGAAGGCAGTGGGGAAGACGTTTCCCCCGCCCGACTTCCAAAGAGGCAGAGTAGGGGACAGGTGTTTGAATGAGGTTAGGAACGGAATTCAGGAGGGTCCCAGATGGGGTTCGCGTGCCATAAGTGCAAGGTGAAAAGCCAGGGAGGGGGACAGCCTGTGTATCCGGGTCCCGGGTAGTGAGGAGAAAGCGAAGGGGTCGTGGCTTTGGGGAGCGGTGCGTGGGGTCCCCTCCCAGAGGGACCAGAGCGGTCCCGAGCTCCACCTCCCGGCCGGGGCGGGGGGGTAAGGAGCGCGGGGAGGCGGGAGGGAGGCGGGCAGGCGGGCCAGGAGGGAGGGGGGGGGGGGGGGGCGGGCCGGGCTGTGCGCTCTGCTCGCTGCTGGCTCCGCCGCCACCGCCGCCGCCGCCGCCGCCGCCGCCGCCGCCTCACACACTCGCGGAGCGGGAGCGCGGCGCGGACGCGAAGCCGCCGGGGCTGCTGTGCCCAGAGCCAGCCGGAGCCGGAGCCTGAACCGCAGCGCCAGCCCGAGCCGTGCTGAGCCGCAGCCCGGGCCGGGGCCGGTGGCGGCTCATGGTCAGCAGGGCCGGCGGCCGGCGCTGCCCCGAGGCGGGTAAGGATCCGGTGGCGGTGGAGGCAGCGGCGGCGGCTCCCGCTCGGGAGCGGCCATAGCCGGCGGGAGCTGAGGGAGGGGCGCTCAGCGGAGCGAGGCCACGAGGGCCCGGGCGGTGCTCAGCGCGCTGGGCTGGGGTGGGGGCGGTGGGAGCTCGGACCGGGGGTGGAGGTCGGGGCACCCTGGTCTCCAAAGTCCGTGGCGAGAAACCGAGAGAGGAGAGGGGATGCTGAACCGGACCTCTGCCGTGGCGTCCCGCACCCCTGCGCGTTTGAAGCCACAGGGAATAAGGAGACTCCAGGAGCGCGCCGAATGGAGGTGGTTGGGGGAAGCGCGCAACCCCCAGTTTGAGGGGGGGACGAAGCCGGCAAGGACCCTCGTACACAACGCACACACACACACTTGTTGGGCGACCAGATCGGATCACTCAGGCGCTTCCAGCTCCCCGCGGGCACCCAGAGGGCCAGACCACGGACATACGTACACGCATACATACATCCGTACATATGTGCACACACAGACATACCTCCCGCACACCAGCGCCCACTGGGGCACCGTCACTAGCTCGGCGTCTGCACACTCAGCAGCACGGACACACAACCCGTGGCCCTAACAGAGCAACAGAACACAACCGAGTGTGACATTTGGCGACACAGACACACAAACACAATCCCGTGCCCTCATGTATGAGAGTCGCGGCCACAGTTCGCAAATGAACACTCAAAACCTAACCTCGCACGTACATATTCCTTTAAGGAACACACCCTAACATGAATTATGTTACCCACTCCTTGGCCAGAACACAGATGCACAACACAGGTCTCGCTTGCTCCCCCCCCACCCTGCACCCACATAAACACAACCCCAGTGTCTCAGCACACGCCTTGACAGCACACACCCTAACACAGAAAGTAGAACCTACAGCGGCGCCTCACGGGCGAGAACACAGAATCCACTGCTTCACACATCTTAACACTGGGTGTCACACACCTTACACCAACAGTGTCACATTACACCTTGCAGCCTATACACACAAACACACACGCTCGCTCTCTCTCCCTCGGAGGCCAGATTGCGTTCTGGGAAGATGAGGGGCGGTCGGGCGAGCCCCTAGCGTCCCTTCATCTTAATCACGACACTGTTATTGTAACTATCAGCGCCGCGGGAACCCTGGGGGCTGGCCGGACCGGCTTCCCCGCCTGCGTCTCCCCCACCCCCACTCCGGGGCCGGGCCGGCCGGGTATTCCCGGAACTGGCTGGACTAGCAGGCCGCGCCATCCCGGCTCCCCTGGGCTTCAAGGCCGTGGGTCCCTTTGCAGGGAGTGGAGCCTGAGGAGGTGTTTGCGACCCTCTTCGGGCCATTTAGCTGCGTTCTGAGAGCCACCTGGGGCCCCAGCACACCTGGGTCCCGCACACCTGTATCCCTCACACACCTGGACGCCCCTTCCGCCAGGTGCCCGCTGTAGGCCAGAGTCGCGTGCACCGGCAAAGCCCTGGGGCCCGAAGGGAGATCTCGGCTCGCGCTGGAGCAGAATTGGCAGGCTAGGTGGACTCAGCTACCCTCGGGAGCCCAGACTTCTGGCTTCAGTTTCCCCAGCAGTGATTGGCGACTGTTTCTTCTAGCTGGACATATTCGGTGTAGCGTTGAGGTCTTTGAGGATTGAGTGCGGGGCAAAGACTCCTTTCCGCTAGCCGTGAGAGGGTCCGTTTCTTGAGAATGTCCCCACCCGGCCTGGCTCGCCAAGCTTTGTGATTCCGGCGCCGGCTCCCTCCCCGCCCCCTCCCGGCGCCCGCCGCTTGGCTCCCGCGGATGCTCGCTTGCTGTGGACCCTAGGCAGTGGGCCGAGATGCGGTGGAGGAGGGATTCCCCGTAGCGGCCCTTGGGGGGCAGGAGGCGCAGGGGGCCTACTGGCCAAGGTTCTCACCGCACCCCCACCTCGCCTTGAGCTCTGGGAGGCCTGTGTCGCTGGGGTGGGGGTGGGGCCGCCCGAGTCCGAGGTTGGTGGAGGAACAGTGCCCCCCCCCACACACACACACTACTGCATCCTCTGGGAGGAGACGCCCACGCTCTGGGTGTGTGCGGGGAGCACCCGCTGACCACAGCGGTGTAGACAGGGGCTGCCCCAGCGGCCACAGAGTCCAGGACACCGTGCTGAAAGACAGAGGGAGCCTACCATTACCTGCTCTGAGCCAACCTTCCGTAGCTGCCAGAAAAGAGGGTGCCCTTAGAAGGTGCTTGTGACAGCCTAGAGGTAGGCGTTATTTTCTTGATGTGGAGGTCTAGGAGGATTGAAATCTGTAATTACAACTAGACCAGGGCATGGAATGGAATCAGAGAAGAGGGGTGAGAAGGGCCTCTGAAGACGGGCAGTGGTAGTGTAGTAGGGGAGCAGATCTGGTTTTAGTTCTGGCAGCCTTTAGTTTCCCCTCTCCCCCAAGCCGATTCCCAGAGGGACTTCAGCTGGAAGAGGGTGTCTTGCTGGTCTGGCCTCTTCCTGGCAGAGGGGCTGCTAGTGTGGCTACTTGGTCAGGGGATCTGGGCTAGAGAGAGACGGTGAGCTAACTGCTGGGAGGAGTGGGCTGGAAGCACCAGGAGAGGGCCTTGTGGTGGGGGTAGGACATGGGGGAGGCCCTTGTGAGATGGTATGGCTGCCCCTACCCTGAACAAGGATGGCTGGTGCTGCAGGGTGAGATTCTTTCAACAATGTCTTGAGCACCTGCTGGCTCTATCTGCCCGGGCCCATAGTGGGGGGGTGAGGATGCCACACAGTGGTAAGACACACACCACCCTTGTCTTCCAAGGTCTTCCCAACTAGCAGGGGATGGGTTCATTTACTTACTGAACCAGCGAGCACCTACTGTGTGCCTGGTGCTGGGAATAAAATGCCCTGTTCATGGGGCGCCTGGGTGGCTCAGTGGGTTAAAGCCTCTGCCTTCGGCTTGGGTCATGATCCCAGGGTCCTGGGACGGAGCCAAGTATCAGGCTCTCTGCTTGGCAGGGAGTCCGCTTCCCCCTCTCTCTCTGCCTGCCTCTCTGCCTACTTGTGATCTCTGTCAAATAAATAAATTAAATCTTTTTTTAAAAATTTAAAAAATAATTTATAAAGAAAAAAGCCCTGTTCAGTTATTTTATATATGTACTGGTCCTTTACAATATAATAGATCTGAATGCCATGGATCTCATCTCCCAAATAACTAACAAGAGGCAGAACTGATTATTTCCATTTCATGATCTGGAAGCAGATTCAGAAAGGTGAAGCCACCTGGCCAAGGTCACATGGCTAGGAAGTGGTGGAGCAAGGGTTTGATCCCCAACATTCTGACTCAAGCATGCAGGTGCCTAGAAGCCCTGCAGATGCTAATAGAGGGTTGTGCAAGAGCAGGGAGAGGAGCTGAGGACCATGCACATGTTCACTGTGGGAAGCCTCTGAACAGCTCCACTCCGCACAGCCCCACTCTGCACAGCTCCACTAAGGCTTACCCTACTCTCCCAGAGGTTGGCTTTGTCCTTTGGTTTTTGTAGCCACGGTGGCAGTGGCTGTTGTGCAACAGTGCGGGGGGCAGGGGTAAGGGTGTGGGGGTGTTCACAGCTGACTTGGTCACTGGGATGTGGATGGCTGCCTCTGGGTATTTTAGCATTCAGCAGAAAGTGGACCCTGGTCCCTGAGGTGGGCTGGTAAAGAAGGTTCCGGGTGAGCCCTCACTGCTGTCCTCTCCCCCTCTCCAACATGTTGACACAGATGGCGGTTTCCTTGGCCCTCCCTGGACTCTGTCCCCTCACACCTCACTGCTCTCCTCAGGCCTGAGAAGAATGAGTCACTGTGCGAGCTGCAGCTCTGCTTCTCAGGGACCTGGGTGCCTATGTCACTGGGCAGAGGTGGGGACACCGTTGTCAGGAAGGCAGCCAGGGCCTGGGCAAGGGCAGATAAAGCTAATGGCTTCAGAAGGTGCCTGAAGACTAATGACTCTCCATAAGCAACCATACCTGGGCAAAGTTCAGGGATGGTGGGGGCAGGGGTAAGGGAGGGCTACCTCACTGCTGCTCCTGGCTCCTCTGACTGTGTCCCTGCATCCCCAGGGCCTCTGGGTGGGGGAGGGGACAGCTTCAGGCTGGGGTTGTACAGCCCTTGAACCCTAAGCCCTCTCTTTCCTTGCCAGGCAAGTTTGGCAGCGCAGGGATGGGGTGGTGGGGGTGGGGGGCTACTCGGCCAACATATTCTAGCCTCTGAGAATTCTCTGGATTTTCTTTCCCCCCCATCCAGCCTTTTCCCCAGACTCTGGATGAGAAGAGGCATTCTTATTTCTCAAATCTTGACTCTGCTTACTCTTCTGTGACCTGAGACAGTTCGTGTTTCTTTCTGAGCCTCAATTTTATCATCTGCACAATGGGGAGCAGTGTAATAATAATAAAGTACCCACTTCGGAGGGTGGGGAGGATTAGAATGGAGAGTGTATGTAAATGGAGTAAAATCTCAGGGAGTGTTAGCTGGGATGATGATGACAATGATGACGGTGATGATGATGGCAAAGGTGACAGTAGAATTTGCACTTCTTTCTCAACTCCAGGGACCTAGCACATCTCAAGAGTTAGTCTTTTCCTGATAGTGCGTCCTGTTGCCTCCACTCTACTGCCTGGGGGTTTCTCCAGGTCCCTCCCCCAGAATCAGAATTGGTGGGGGCAGATAATACTCATTTTAAAGGAACATTCTAGGTGCTTCATGGGCCTTCAACCTTCTTCAACTCTTGCCCTCACTCTGGGTAGCCACCCCTCCAAACCCATGTTCCCCCAAATTCCTACCTCCTGGAAACACCCTCTTCCCCATACATTCCTGGCCTTGGATATTTCTCTGTGGTCCTCTTTCTGACTCCAAGTTGTACACCATAATCCTTTCCTGATTCCTCTGCTGGCTGGAGGTAAGGGATGTCCTGAGGGTGACAGGGTGAATTAGTGAGACAGAAAAAGAGTGTGTATGGGGTGGGGGGGCTTCTAGTGTGTGTGCTGCCTGGGAGGCCTGAGGGGTTAGAGCCCTGGGTTGTGAGCCTGAGAGGTGGAAGAATGGGCTTAATCTGTAGCTCTTGGAGCTGCTACAAATCAGTCACCCTGACTCTGTCAGACCAAGACCTCTGAATTTACAGCCAAAATTTGTGAGCATTCATTTTTCTTGGAAAAGTCTGTCCCATTTTCATAAAATTCATAAAGGGGGCTTGATCTAAAAGGGTTAAAAATCTGTGTTCTGGAGAGAGTGAGGGAAGCAAGCAGTCACTGCCTTATTTCTCCTGTGTCAGGTTTAGGGTAATTCCCATAGAGCCCCCACCCTGCCAAGACTTAGGCGTGGAATTGGTGTATGGAGTGACCCACTCTGTGTTTAAGATGGAAGGAAGGCAGGCTAAGGTGCCCAGAAGGGAATGAGGTTCCCTGGAGACCGTCCTCCCGGGGGTGCGTTTAGGTTGGAGCTTAGAAGTAAGAGGAGCCTTGTGCCAGATCTGTGCAGGTAGATGGATAGTGGCTGGAGGGTGGATCCACTTGGAGCATTCGATAAATTTTTCCTTCCTTTAAAGAGATTAAGATTGCAACTAGGAACAAGCACCACACTAATCTGATAACAGCCTCTTACGCGTAGGGCACTTTACTGGCAGGGAGAGACCAGGGAGGAGGTGTGGTTTGGGAGTGCTATGTGAAGAAGTGAAGTGTTCGACTTTGTAAGGAATCTGTGTTCACTGAGCATTTGCTGAGAGTCAACTATGGTCCTAAAGAGAGAAGGATTAAATTTGACGCCCGTAGGTTCTTGATGGAATAAGGAAATTGGGCAAGGAAATAAGCAGTGACCACCCAGAAAGTGCCAGGATAGGCTAAACCTGAGAGCTACAGTGGTCTTTCAGGAACTCTTACTGAGTGCTTGCTGTATGCCAGGTCCAGAGCAGGGTCCTGAGGCTGTAGGAACAAAGCAGAGGCTCTCATCTCTGCTCAATCTTGTAGGAAAGACAACTGACAAATTATTTCCCATCTAACAGCTACATAACTTCAATTATAAGTGCTGTGAGGGAGCATTTGTTGAGTACTTAGAGTATGCGCTAGGTGTTTAGCCCATGTGATCTCAAACTCCCTAGGAAATAGGTGGCCTTGTTCCCATTTTACAGATAAGGAAACTGAGGCCCTAAATCATTGTTCTCCTGCTCAGCATCCAGGAAATGGATAGTCTGATGTCTTCTCCACCCTGATTCCTTCCATGTGCCAAATGATTACAACCAAACAAAATGACAAATAGTCATTGAGTTAGAATGGTTGTGAGGTCCATGATAGCACATTGAGTCTATCTTGTATGCTGCTGTGTCCCAGTGCCCAGGAGATTGCCTCACACATTGTAAGTGCACATTAACATTTGTTGAATGCATGGTGCCCAGCTCTGTGAACATGTGTGGGTTGGGGCAGGGGAATGAGTAGAGAGAGTCTGGCCCTACCTTCAGGAAGTCTGGCATTTGTCTGGAGAACCAGAGAACACAGGAATAGGTGCACAGTACTGGGGTTGAACAACACTGGCAGGTGGGCGGGGTCCAGGCAGCTCAGTGATTCATTGCCTTGGGACTAGGGCAGACAATAGTGGCTGTGAGTTGGAGAAAGGAGAGGTCACAGCAGGCTGGAGAGGCCTGGGAAGGCTTCCTGGATTAGGGGCTGCCTTCAGTGGGGTAGGTGTGGTCTCTGACAAGGATGGGTAGGATTTCCTGGGAGGGGGGGAGGATGTCAGGTATTTCAGGTGCAAGTGGGGAGGTGGGGGAAGGGGAGTGAGCCTGAGCCCTCTGCTGAAAATGCAGGGCCTGACTTTGGATTTAAATAGAGGGGCTGGCCATGGTTTTGTTGGAGAGAAGGAAGGGATCCAGACTGGGACAGCAGCAGGGCTGGCTGGGGTCTGCAGGTGCATTGCCTCAAAGCTGGGGGGTGGGGGAGATGAGGGAGAAGTGGGTTATTGGGGTGATCAGGGCGCAGCTTGTGGCTGGCTATGGCATAGAGGGCTCCAGTTGGAAGGATGTGGGGGTGGGCACAGAGAAACCCGTCAGAGATGGGACTGGACACGTCAAAGGGGGAGGGGCAAGGTATGAGACAGGGGCCAGATGTTTACTGAGAGCCTGGGAGCCTACTTGGAGGGGAGTGGTCAGGAACAGGCTGGTGGTGGCATTGGCAGCACCATCCCAGTTAGACCTGCTGGGCTCACAGTTGCTAAGGACAGGCTAGGGCAGCTCCCAATGCCAATTCCAGGGCGAGTCAGCCCTGACCACAGTCCTGACCCCAATCTTGAACTCTACACTCTTCTTCCACACACCCGTCAGTGTCTCCCTCCCCCTTCCCCCCCCCCCACCCCTGGTGGAAACAGGGCAGGAAGGGAGGAGGAGGAGTCCTGGGAACCCAGCTGGGGGCAGAGCTGGGGGCAGTGTGCTTTGGGGGCGGGGGTGGCTGACTCCTACACTTCAGCTCTGTTTCCAAGCCTTGATGGGTGCCTAGTTTAAGCTGACCCTTCATGGGGGTGGGGGCATTGGGCAATCTGGGTGATTACTGTCAGAAAAGAGGGATTTGACATGTCATATCTCATATGCATATACTGACCAGCATCTCCGAAGGAAAAGAAACGAGAAGCCTTCCCACTCCCTCCAGCCATCCTGAGTGGCCCTCAGCATGGGGTCCGGGGAACATAAAGAGTGCCTGTATCTCTTTCCTATCATGTATGTGGGGGGTGCTTAAGGGCTTACCCTTCCACTTGCTGTCTCTCCATATCTCGGTATCAGGGTAATTACCATGGGTGACTAAGGCAAGATGCTGGTGAGAAGGAGGTGTTGGGCAAAGCACAGGAGAGAGAGCAGGGAGGAGGGAGTGTCAGCAGGGTCAGGGCGTTCCATGGGCGGGAGCTACTCTAGACCTGTTCTGGGCCCTTACCGGCTCCTCCAGCTGGGGCAGACATTGCTGCTACACCCAGCTGTGAGAGAAACTCAGGGTTCTGGGTTCTGGAATCGGGGTTCTGGGCTGGGGCTGAGCTCTCTTTGTGGGATAGTGTATAGATGGCAGAAGGGGAGTCAGGGCCTGGCTTGGGCAACCCTCAGGGCCAGCTTCCTCTTCCCAGCTGACCTCCTATTTTGCCTCTTCTCCTTGCAGCCCTCCTGATTCTAGATCCTGCCAGGATGGGGCCCCCGAGGCCCAGCCCAGGCCCCGGGGGGCAACGGTTGCTGCTGCCCCCCTTGCCGCTGGCACTGCTGCTTCTGCTGGCGGCATCCCCAGGCCATGCCACTCGGGTGGTGTACAAGGTGCTGGAGGAGCAGCCACCCAACACCCTCATTGGGAGCCTTGCTGCGGACTATGGTTTTCCAGACGTGGGCCACCTGTACAAACTAGAGGTAGGCGCCCCATACCTGCGGGTGGATGGCAAGACGGGAGACATCTTCACCACCGAGACGTCTATTGACCGCGAGGGGCTCCGTGAATGCCAGAACCAGCTCCCTGGTGAGCCTTGCATCCTGGAGTTTGAGGTGTCTATTACGGACCTCGTGCAGAACGGCAGTCCCCGGCTGTTAGAGGGCCAGATAGAGGTACAGGACATCAATGACAACACGCCCAACTTCGCCTCACCAGTCATCACGCTACCCATCCCTGAGAACACCAACATTGGCTCACTCTTCCCCATCCCGGTGGCTTCTGACCGCGACACCGGCCCCAACGGTGTTGCATCCTACGAGCTGCAGGCCGGGCCTGAGGCCCAGGAGCTGTTTGGGCTTCAGGTGGCAGAGGACCAGGAGGGGAAGCAGCCACAGCTCATCGTGATGGGCAACCTAGACCGGGAGCGCTGGGATTCCTATGACCTCACCATCAAGGTGCAGGATGGCGGCAGCCCCCCCACGCGCCAGCAGTGCCCTGCTGCGCGTCACTGTGCTTGACACCAACGACAACGCCCCCAAGTTCGAGCGGCCCTCCTACGAGGCTGAACTGTCCGAGAATAGCCCCATAGGCCACTCGGTCATCCAGGTGAGAGGTCCCTCCATCTAACTGTCAGGATTCCCACCTCAGGAAATGGGAGCCTGGCCAGGGCTGGTGAGAGTTCCCTTCACTCAGGGGTAAACTGCGAGGGTATTGTGATCTGGTGAGACCTTCCTATCCCAGCAGGTGATATTATTTCCCTCTCTCAAGCTACTTAGTGAGGGACCCCTGGGTGGCTCAGTTGGTTAAACAGCTGCTTTTGGCTCAAGTCATGATCCCAGGGTCCTGGGATCGAGCCCCCTGTTGGGCTCCCTGCTCAGTGTGGAATCTGCTTCTCCCTCTCCCTCTGCCCACTCTCCCCACTCATGTTCATGCTCTCTTGCTTTCTCTCCAATAAATAAATAAAATCTTAAAAAAAAAAAAAAGCTACTTAGTGAGAGTGACAGCGTAGGAATAGTAGTCCCCTCATCCTCAAATCAGACTCAAACTGGAGAAACTTCGGAGAAGTGAAACCCCCTCCCAAGTCAAATGATATCCTCCACTCCAGCGAGGCCAGCCAAGTTGGAATAAGAACACTCTCTCTCCAGAGATGAGAATATCTTCCCCACCAGCAGCCCCTTAGCCAGACCAGACTTTTCCTGAAGCTAGAGGACAGAGCCTTTCTTTGCTTCTCCCTGACAGTCAGATGAGATTATTTGAGCCAAGTGAGTCCTCAGAGTTCTAGAAAACTGCATTCAGATGCCTCTCTGTACACCAGCTTCCTTCCCTAGGCAAGGGTGCTCGTGAGTATGGGGTGCTTGGCACAGTGGGGGGTCGGTTGCCTCTGCTGAAGTTCTCAGCACCCCTCTCCATGGGAACTGCCCCAGGGGCTGGACAGCTTGGTGGGGCCAGGGCCTGGGAGGGAGCAAAGAAAGCGTCCCTGCAGACAGGTGGGCGTATCTCCCGCTGTCATCTCAGCCCTGGCCTCCTGCCAGCCCCAGCTCCTTTCTCCTTCCCCCTGGGCTGAAGCTGTCTGTCTTTGAAGTGAGGGAGCTGAGGAGGGCTCAGCCTGCCCTGTACACCGTTATGGTCCTGGGAAACCCTTCATTCTATGTCCTCAAACTGAAGTGGGGCGTGGGGAGGAGTTTTAGGCTTTTTTTTAGAGGCTGGTGGACTTGAACATGTAGAAGGGAGTATGAGGAAGAAAAGGGAGACAGACAGTCGGAGATGGTGAATAATAACAGCCTGGGTGCCAGGCACTGTTCAGAACACATTATGTGTATTATGTCATGGAATCCTCACAGTTCAAGGTAAGCATTATCCCCATTTCACCGATGGGAAACTGAGCCCACAGAGATTTGGAAACTTGATGCCTGGTCTCCCCAGCTGTTGTGTTCACATCCCACTCTGGCTGTGTACAACAGCCCGGCTTCAAACTCTGAATCCTGTGTGTGTAACAGCTACACCCCCTTCCAGTGGGCCGAAGCAGAAGAGTGGGCAGAGATGGGGTTTGAGAAGGAGCAGAAAAGAGAGGATGGGAGAGACACAGAAAGAGCTGAGCAAGGCGGGGAGGGAAACAGGGACAGAAGTGAAGAGTCACAGAGACAAAGGGAGGTAAGATGGTAAGAGAGGTGGGTAAGAAGCCAGGTGAGCAGTCTAGAGACAGGGAGAAGTGGGAATCCCAAGGGAAAGGTAGGTGACAGAGAGATGGACTGGGGACAGCGGGGTGAGGAGAAGAAACAGTTTGGCTCTCACAGAGGTGAAAAAGGCCCAGAATAACTAGGATGCCCTGCCCAGATGTCTCCACTGTTGAACAAGTTCTGGTTCCCAACAGGAAGGAGAGGAGACTAGCAGTGGTATGAGGCTCCACTAGACATGGTGCCTAGCACTGTGTTAGCACTGATTTTCAGAGATGGACAGGTGGATGGGTGGATGAAAGGAGGGATAAATGCTGTTTAGGGAGCGCTTGCCACATACCAGGCAGTGTTAGGCATTTTTACAAGTATTATTTAATTCTCACCACAGCCCTATGAAATAGGTTCTATTATTAACCCATTTTATACATTTGTAGACTGAGGCTTGGGGTGATGGAGTAATTGGCCCAAGGTTACGTAGTTAGGAAGTGGTAGAGCTGGGATTTGAACCCAGAACTCTTCTGCTGTGTTTCTCAGAGATTCTGCCAGGTTATACCTGTCCTGTCCTCCCCATTTCCCCCACACACACCCACTTCTCCCTTACCAGTGGTACCTCATGGCCATTCCCACCAGGTTCCCGCTGCCCCATCACCACCAGTGTTTGTATAGACTTGGGCCGAGTGTGCGTCGGCGTTGGCGTGGGAGGGCGTGCCCACTGCAAAGGGACAGACAGTTCATTGTTTGATGCTGGGAGCCCAGCCCGCTGCCAGCAGGCTCTGTGGCCCGCACCAGCCCCTCCCTCCCGGCCGCAGACTCAGCTGCCCAGATTCCTCAAGTTGGTGCCTAGCCAGCACCAGCCAGAGGAGAAGATGCTGAAACCGGTTTCCCCGGTTTGAGGGAGCCATGGCCTTGCCAGCTCCTTCTGACCCATATCCCTACGTGACTGCTTTCGAGCGAAGCCCCCTCCCCTGGGGCCTCCAGGTGGGCATTTGGGTCTCCACTAGTGCGCAAACACACACATGCACAAACACATACCTTCTCACACATTCACACATACCCCCCGTCTCAGAATACATGTACGCGCACACATGGGTATTGTGCTCACGTCAGGCAGACATGCCACACCTTTCCAGCTCTTTGGAAAGGTTGAAGTCCCGTTTAATTGGGTGGAAGGGCTACCCTAGTTGCTAGCTGGCTTTACATCCCCAGATTGGGGCACACCAGTACAGGAACGGTAAGCAGAGCTGTCCCATCTCTGCTAGTTTCTTGTAACACAGCAGAAGATTTGCAGGCTGCATCTGTGCTCCTCAGGGAACGAGATCAGTACTGTCTGCCCTGTGTCGGGGTTGGGAAAAGGGCAGTTGGTCTATGTGTTGCTTTTGGAAAGGGTGCCACATTAGACGAATTGTATCTGCCATGGTCATTGCAAAGGCAGCACACATGTTCCTTAATGTGCTATCCCATTATCCCAAGACTAACCCATCCCGGCTTCCCTTGTTTTCCTCTGCTGCCCTGTAGGTGAAGGCCAATGACTCGGACCAAGGCGCCAACGCAGAAATCGACTACACATTCCACCAGGCGCCTGAGGTGGTGAGGCGTCTTCTGCGACTGGACAGGAACACTGGACTTATCACTGTGCAGGGCCCCGTGGATCGCGAGGACCTGAGTACCCTGCGCTTCTCCGTGCTCGCCAAGGACCGAGGCACCAACCCCAAGAGTGCCCGTGCCCAAGTGGTGGTGACTGTGAAGGACATGAATGACAACGCCCCCACCATTGAGATCCGGGGCATAGGGTTGGTGACCCATCAAGATGGGATGGCTAATATCTCGGAGGATGTGGCAGAGGAGACAGCTGTGGCCCTGGTGCAGGTCTCTGACCGAGATGAGGGAGAGAACGCAGCTGTCACCTGTGTGGTGGCAAATGACGTGCCCTTCCAGCTGCGCCAGGCCAGTGAGACGGGAAGTGACAGCAAAAAGAAGTACTTCTTACAGACCACCACTCCACTCGATTACGAGAAGGTCAAAGACTATACCATAGAGATTGTGGCTGTGGACTCTGGCAACCCCCCGCTCTCTAGCACCAACTCCCTCAAGGTGCAGGTGGTAGATGTCAATGACAATGCCCCTGTGTTCACCCAGAGTGTCACTGAGGTTGCCTTCCCAGAAAACAACAAGCCAGGTGAAGTGGTCGCCGAAGTCACTGCCAGCGATGCCGACTCAGGCTCTAACGCGGAGCTGGTTTACTCTCTGGAGCCAGAGCCAGCTGCCAAGGGCCTCTTCACCATCTCTCCTGACACTGGAGAGATCCGGGTGAAGACATCCCTTGATCGGGAACAGCGGGATAGTTACGAGTTAAAGGTGGTGGCAGCTGACCGGGGCAGTCCCAGCCTGCAGGGCACAGCCACCGTCCTTGTCAATGTGCTGGACTGCAACGACAATGACCCCAAGTTTATGCTGAGTGGCTACAACTTCTCAGTGATGGAGAACATGCCAGCACTGAGTCCAGTGGGCATGGTGACCGTCATTGATGGGGACAAAGGGGACAACGCCCGGGTACAGCTCACGGTGGAGCAGGACAATGGTGATTTTGTTATCCAAAATGGCACAGGCACCATCCTCTCCAGCCTGAGCTTTGATCGGGAGCATCAGAGCACCTACACCTTCCAGCTGAAGGCAGTGGACGGGGGTGTCCCACCTCGCTCAGCGTATGTGGGTGTCACTATCAACGTGCTGGATGAGAATGACAATGCACCCTTCATCACCGCCCCTTCCAACACCTCCCACCAGCTGTTGACCCCACAGACACGTCTTGGTGAGACGGTCAGCCAGGTGACAGCCGAGGACATTGACTCCGGGGTCAATGCGGAGTTGACCTACAGCATCGCTGGTGGCAACCCTTACGGACTCTTCCAGATTGGATCCCATTCAGGGGCCATCACCCTTGAGAAGGAGATTGAGCGGCGCCATCACGGGCTGCACCGCCTGGTGGTGAAAGTCAGTGACCGTGGCAAGCCCCCGCGCTATGGCACGGCCTTGGTCCACCTTTACGTCAATGAGACCCTGGCCAACCGCACCCTTCTGGAGACCCTGCTGGGCCACAGCCTGGACACGCCACTGGACATCGATATCGCTGGGGATCCAGAATATGAGCGCTCCAAGCAACGTGGTAACATCCTCTTTGGAGTGGTGGCCGGTGTGGTGGCCGTGGCCTTGCTCATTGCCCTGGCAGTGCTTGTGCGCTACTGCCGGCAGCGGGAGGCCAAGAGTGGCTACCAGGCTGGCAAGAAGGAAACCAAGGATCTATATGCCCCCAAGCCCAGCAGCAAAGCCTCCAAGGGAAACAAAGGCAAAGGCAAGAAGAGCAAGTCCCCGAAGCCTGTGAAGCCAGTGGAGGATGAGGATGAGGCTGGGCTGCAGAAATCCCTCAAGTTCAACCTGATGAGCGATGCCCCTGGAGACAGCCCCCGCATCCACCTGCCCCTCAACTACCCGCCGGGCAGCCCTGACCTGGGCCGCCACTACCGCTCGAACTCCCCACTGCCTTCCATCCAGCTGCAGCCCCAGTCACCCTCTGCCTCCAAGAAGCACCAAGTGGTGCAGGACCTGCCACCCGCAAACACATTTGTGGGCACTGGTGACACCACATCCACGGGCTCTGAGCAGTACTCCGACTACAGCTACCGCACCAACCCCCCCAAATACCCCAGCAAGCAGGTAGGCCAGCCCTTGCGGCTCAGCACACCCCGGCCCCTACCCCACCCCTACCACGGGGCCATCTGGACCGAGGTATGGGAGTGACGGGGCAGGTGGATCAGACCTGTGCGGGGCAGGTGGATCAGACCTGTGCGCTCCTCAGCCCATAGGGGCCAACGCAAGCCAGTGGTGGGAGGTGGGACCAAAGATCTGGGGATGCTGGGGCCTTGGTGATGACCCTGCTGCCTTGCCCCGGCACAGAGGGTTAGACTGAGTGAAAATTGAGGGAGGGTGTGTGCTCTGTGGCATTCTCCTCCTTGCCCCCTCCCCATTGGGAGAGGCCTGTGACTGTCAATTCCCAAGACACTAGACCCAGCTGCTGGGTCTTGCCAGTGGGGGCTAATGGGCAGATGAGCAGAAGGGGTGGAGGCAGAAGGGGGGAAGGGAAAGGAAGATGAAGTCTACTCCAAAGCTGGGTCTCTAGCTGAGACCACCTATTGGTGCTTCTCTAGAAGGGAAACAGGGAGACCTGGGGTCCTATTGGGTAACTGGGTAGGGCTCTGTCAGGGAGGGGGGGCCTCCCTATTTGTGCCTTCTGTGTGTGCTGTGTTAGCCTCTTCCCCACCCCAGGCTCCTGGGGCTGGGTCCTGGCTCCCCTTCCCCAGTCCCAAACACTTATCCCTGACAATAAAGTTCTCTATTTTTGGAGTTTTGGTTTCTTATTTTCCTGGAACTGAGAGAAGGAGTGAGAGAGACTGGAAATGGCCCTTTGTCCCTAGGTCCCTACCCAATTTCCCTATCCCTTCTCTTTGCCCCTTCCTACTTCCCAGACCTCCCTCTACCCCAGCCCTATCTTCATTTACCATCATCCCATCTGACAACGTGTCCTCTCACTCTGTGTTTGGGAGGCCATCTCACTAGGAACAACATCCTTCCCCAAGAAAGGGCAGGTGCACTCAAGTGAGAGGCACCCAGGTCCTGCCCTTTGTCCACTGACTGGGGCTTCACCCTTCCAATCTGTTCACATTGAGGAGCCCCTGGCCGAGCTTGGGCCAGAACACCTGGTAAGAGTGAATTGCAGCCCGCCCACCTCAGGTGAAGACAGAGAAGCCCTTGATTACACCAGCCACCTTCCCTTGGGGCAAGATCTTTCCAAGTCCCTTTCCCAGCTTTTTCATCCCAGCATCGCTCAATGCCCAGCAATTACTGGGTCCTGCCCTGCATGTCCCCGCCATGATCACCAGCCTGGATTACTGGGAGGGAGGACCCAGGGAGGGGGAGGGAATCCTCAAGTTCTTAGGATTGGCCTGCTCTGGATCCCTACTCTTAGGGTGCTCCCTTCTGACTTTAAGCTGAGGGACCCTAGTCCTGCCCATCCTCCCTTCCCTTCCTTTAGCTCCTTGTTCTAGCTACCCTAGGCTGCTGGCTCTCACTCACTCTCTCTCTCTCCGTCTCTCACTTCTTGCTGTCCTAGGTCTGCCCTGTCTCTGGCTGTGCCTGCAGGGCACTGGGGCTAAAGCCTGGGTGAGAGGCCTCAGGTCCTGGGGGAGTCTCTGAGGCCAGAGGCAACATGTCTCCATGGCGACTGAAGTGGCTTGAGACACTCCCAGGAGGTCCAAGGCGCCAGCTCTCTGATTCCATCCACAAACTCCCCAATGCCCTGGGGGTACCCCCAAAGTAAACAGTCCTGGGGGCTTTGGAGGAGTGGGGCAGGGGCAAGTGAAATCTAGTTGCATCCCATTTCTTCTGGACAAATAAGCATCTCTAGGGGGACCGCCAGCAGCTCCTGACCAACGATTTTTTTCTCTTCTGTTCCCATCCTTGCTGCCACCGGGTCGCTCTTTCTTCTATTCCTTTAGCCTCTTCATCGCTTTGTCTTTCCCAGGGATTATCCCTTACTCAGCTGCAACCCAACACATCCATGAACACCTCCCTTCGACATTAAGACACAACCAAACCACAACACCATTGTCCTCATCAGAACACATAGGCCAAGTTCCCACTGTGTGATCAGCATGGTACCAGACCCTGAGGGGACACGGTCATATTCGTAAGAGATAACACATGTGAAAAGATGAGGCAATTGAGCCTCTTAAACGTGGAGTGGGAAATGCCTTAGTGAAGTTTCCCAGCTTGTTCCACTGTTCCTTCTGCCACTAGCTGCTACTATTTTTTCGTCCTTAACACAAGGTGCAGTGTACCATACTCAGCACTTTTTGTGAATTAGCTCATTCAAAGCTCATAACTCTTGGTGACATAAGTCATTACAGTGCTCATTTTCCAGGAGGGAAAACTGGTGAGTGCTGGACTCATAATTCAAACACAAAGCATCAGGAAATCTGATTTCCAGATTCTGCTGTTACCCATAATGCTTTACCAGAGGAGTCCCCTAATTAAGTCCGTTTGCGGAGTAAGAGATGCGCTATCACATTAGCCTATTAAAGGCTCTGCAACACCTGCAACAAAGGTGGGGGACACGTTAAACTTTGTGTAACTCGGGGTTTTCCAAAATTTATTTGACGGTGGTGCCCCTCCCTTTGAGGAACACAGTGTGGGAAAACCCACACAGGACATGGGAGTGGGTTGCTGGAGGGAAAATGTCAGACGTGAGCCAGCTCTTCAGTGACGAGCAGGAGTTGGGCAGGAGGTTCAGCCGAGTGAGCCGGCTCCTGAGGCAGGAGTGAGCATGGCCAAGTTGGGGACAGGGAGAGGCAGAAAGGGGAGCATCAGGGCTGGAGTAGAGGGTATAGGAGAGAGCTGAGAGATCAGATGGGAAGAACTGGAGGTTGTAGAGTGCACAGATGCCTGGCCAAAAGTTCCTTAATGGGAAACGGGAGTCCCTGAAAGCTCATGAGTTTTGGGTGAACTGAGTTTTAGAAAGTTCACCAGAGCATGTAGTGGCTATAAATGGGGTAGAGGTGAATGTACAGGATTGAAACTCCAAGGTCCGGACAAGGACGGTGGCCGTGGGGACAATGGATGATGGGTGGATTTGGCTAAACTTGGGGAGAAACGACCTCTAGGACTCAAAGGATGATTGGATATAGGGTAGGGATTTGGGGGAATGGGTATGACAGCTCCCAGGAGTCCCAGGTGTACATCATTCTTCTGTGTCTGGGTGATGGCATAGTGACTAAATTGTTGCCCATACACAAGGTGATTGAAGATAAAGAAGAATTGAGTTTCAGACTTGTTGAATCTGAAGGGTTAGTAGAGACACCCAATAGGAAATATACCCAGCAAATGTCTAGAACTTCAGGACCAGCGTCAGAGAGATTTTGGATCTAGGCTTTTTAAGATATGATAGTGATAGAATTATAGGGAATGTTTAGAGTTGAGGATGCCCAACCTTCCATTTTACAGAAAAAAAAAAAATCATAGGAAAAAAGGGCCAAGTGACAAGTTTTGGATGACCAGGTGTAAGTTTTTGGGGGACGGAAGGCCGCTAGCTACCATCTTGGGGAAAACTGGGAAGAGAAGCACTGGACGACCAGTCTGCCCGCAGACCCCTCCTGGAGACTCCTTTACCACATCCCAGCCCCAGGTCAATTGTGGGGACCTCATCTGTCATCACCCTGACTCCTTGGTGTTTTGGATCACAACATGGATCCCGAGAAGGGTTGTCTATTCCTGAAGATAAGGTGGGAGCCAAGCTGGGAAGGCAGTTCTGAGCCGCCTTCCCAACAGCTTACCTCAGCTGCCTTGAATGGAATGAAGATTGTGATGGATCAGGAGGTATCAGGAGGATGGGTCTGCAAACCTGGGGTCCCCTTTTCCGGCCTTCTTGATAAGCTCCTACTGAGGGTTTTAGAGTAAAGACAAAGCACCAGTGAAGTCCTAGAGGATTAGAGGGAGCCTGGAGACTCAGCAGCACCAGGGCCTGGGCCTGAGCTGCTCCCATCCCCCGGCTTCTGGGGGCCCTGGGTTTCTGCCCTCCACAACTCCTCATGTCTGGATGGCAGCAAAATCAGTGGCAGTCCCAGGTGGGTGTTTCGGTGGCTGGTTGTACCAAGTGCCAAGTTGAGGCTGCCAGGTTCTTGGGAGAATCCTTAACCTGAGGCAGGCACCCAGGGCTGCTGGCTGGGAGCAGCCTGTCCCAGTTCCACTACCCCCACCCCAACCCCCCATACAAGCTTCTAAGTCCTGGTTCCACTGAGCCATGGCCCCTCCCAGAAGCTCCTTCCAATTTCCTAGAAGGAGTCTCTCTTTGAGGCCAGCCTTCCTAATTGCTGATGGATGCCAGGCCCCTCCCCCTATGCCCAGGTCCTCCTGGGCCCTGTACCCTACAGTTAATACTCTGTTTCCTGATCTGGAGGATGGGGGAGTTTCCATTGTTCTGCTTCCCCACCCCCAAGGGGCCCCGGTTTGTTACCAGCCTCCCTTTCCTTCTTCCCCTCCCACCTTTTCTACTCCCAGGCCTCTCTAGAGGGGAATGAAGTGGGGACAAAGGGGCTCAAGTGGGAGGGGACGCAGCAGGGAGTCCTGAGGCTGCTTACAGCAACTCGAAGCAGGGCTGGGAACCAAGGATCAGAAAGACACTGGGATCTCTTTTGGATGGAGGCAATGGAAAGTTAAAGAGCAATGAGACAGGTGAGAAGCTGAAGTTCAGGGGTGCTGTTTGGAAATTAGGGAACTGCACTGGTATTGGTGAGCTCTTTCGGAATGAGGAGTCCATACTGCTTTAAGGAAGCTGTTCTGGAAATCCGGAAGCTTGCTCCTGACTGAGGCTATGCTGGAATTAGGGGAGTTGGCTGATATTGTGCTCTTCTGGCGTGGGCTGTTCTGGAATTAAAGGCTGTGCCGATACTGGGAAGCTGTGCTGTGACAAGTGGTTGTACTGGATTAGGCTTATTGTGGTGGCCTGGGGGCTACAATAACACTGGGGCCTGTGCTGTGGTGGGACCTGCAGTGTGTGGACTTGGCTCTCCTGGGAGCTGTCCCAGAATTAAGGGACTCCTCCATCGTGGTCTGCGCTTTCTTGGGGGCGCTGCTATGCTAGGGGGCTGGGCCTCTTCTCCATTGCTGCTGAGGCCTGGGGGGCCGGGAGCTCTGGGGCGGGCCTGGCTGGGGCTGGGGGTCGCTCTGGTGGTGGGCCCCCCAGGGCGAGCTGGCCTGCCAGCAGTGACCCTCCTTCTCCCCGCAGTTACCTCACCGACGCGTCACCTTCTCCGCCACCAGTCAGGCCCAAGAGCTGCAGGACCCGTCCCAGCACAGTTACTATGACAGTGGCCTGGAGGAATCTGAGACGCCATCCAGCAAGTCATCCTCGGGACCCCGACTCGGTCCCCTGGCTCTGCCAGAGGACCACTATGAGCGCACCACCCCCGATGGCAGCATAGGAGAGATGGAGCACCCCGAGAACGGTGAGGAGCTTCAGCATGGACAGGGCACCCCGGGAATGGGTAGGAGTAGAGATCAGGGATGAGACTTGGACAATAGCCTCCATTTATTGAGCTCTTGTGTGTTCAGCGGCGCTCACTGAGCCGAGTGCTTTCAGCTATATATTCATTTAATCCTCACAACTGCTCTCTGATCTGAGAACTTTACTGTTCTCTTCACAAGTGCAGGGAACGTGAGGCTCGGAGAGGTTGAGTCACTTACCCAAAGTAAGACAGAGGAAGTAACAGAGCTGGCAGGGATGCAAAGGCTACTCTGACTCCGAAGATCTTGCCCTGGGCACCACAGTGTGCAGCCTTCCTGGGAACAGGGACTCAGGCAGCACTGAGGGAAACTGGAGGGAACCTTGAGGTCATGACAGTCCCTTAATGGGGTCAGAGGGCCTTGAGAAAAGGAAGGGGCCCTTGGATGCTCAGAGGAGCTCAGAAGAGGGTATGATGATCCCCTGAGGGGAGGAACCAGAGAGGATCTGGCTGAGGGAAGGGAGTGGGAAGGTCTGGGGAGGGGAGAGGCCTGCCTGGGAGGGGTTTGAAGGGTGGTGGCAGAAGGAAGGTCTGGGCCAGAGCAGAGGTCAGTGTGGGAATGGATAGTGGGTGCACTTTCAAAATGTGTGTGTGTGATGCATATGCGTGTGTGTGTGTGTGAAGGGATCCATGGTAGCCTCTGGAGGGGAAGAACAAAGAAGCTTCCCCTTGGGACTGAAAGACTCTCTAGCTTGGAGCTGTCATTCGGTCTTGCCCTCTCCCTCAGTCCAAACTGCCCCCCCAAAAGATGAAAAGTTCTACTCCCCACCCCTCAGGCACAGGGCCCTTGTCTAACATTCCAGGCCCTAGGTCTCAGAGTGCCCTCCACCCCACCCTGCCCCTCCATGCTCTATCTCATGCCCGTCTCGTCCTTTTTGTGCCCGCGCAGAGCCGGCTGGCCGGAGCAGGCCCTGAGGCAGAGTGCCAGGTATGTGGGAGCTGCTCTGGGGTCTGGGGTCTGTGGGACTTGGCCCAGCACCCAGCCCCGCCCGCCCAGTGACCTTGTTCTGCTCTATGCCATGTTGGGTCCCCCAACCATGAGCTGAAGAGCCTTGGTGCTTTGAGGGTTAATGACAGAGCTGTCCCCTCCTCACCTTGCACTGGCAGGAGGCCAAGCCAGGGTGGGTGATACCAGGGGAGCCCCGGCCCCAGGCAGTTCTGCTCAGTCATGTCCCTGAGGGAGGGTCACCACCTGGTACTGTCCCTGAGCAAGGGCGGGACAGGGACAACTATGACAGGAAGTGCTCCTGGCCCAGCCGTTCCCATGGAGACCCCTGCTGCCCAGCAACCACACTGGCTACTGATGTCAGGCGGCCAACTCCTGTTCCCGTGGGTGTTCTGGGCAGGGAGCCGGGGCTAGGCCAGGGGCGGTGGTTGGCATAGGGGGCTGGAGTGCGGTGGGGAGGGGTTGCATGAGTGTGCTTGTGAGGATGCGAGTGTGTGCTTCTATGTGAACTCCCCACTACCTTCTCCCTGGCTTTAAAGGAGGCCTCACTGTGTTGGGGTAAGGTGGGGTTCTAGGATAGCTGGGAGCACAGTGAGGTTTGGGAGGGGTTCAGAAGGAAGGTATTTGCCCACCTTCATCTGAGGCTGGAGAAGCCCAGTATAGATTTGTGTGTCGTGTCTATTGAGGGTAGGGGTGTGTGTGTGTGTGTGAGAGAGAGAGAGAGAGAGACAGACAGACAGACAGAGATATTGGACCCTTAAATGAGGATGGGGGTTTCCTCACCCCTAAAGATAGATTTGCTTCTTTAAGGCTGTCTGGAGATAGATGAGGGAGGGTGTAGATGGGTTCTGTGTTTGTGCACCTGTCGGAGGGCAGATTTGGTGGGTGTGTTGTTAGGAGAGCTGGAGGGTGGCTGAGGATGGAAGTACGCATCTATTTCAGGGTAGACTGTATGAGAGAGAAGAGCCTGCGGTGGGCGGCAGGAGGCTGTGTGTCTATTTGCGGGTGTGTACACCTGCCAACTCAGTGGGCAAAAGGGGCATGCACCCCTGTCCCGAGGCAGGGCGGAGGTGCCCATGGGAAGCCCTGGAAGGGAGCTTTGCAATGTTACTCTGCCTGAAGACTGTCCTCCCCGTTCTCTTGCACAGACCTGCGCCCTTTGCCTGATGTTGCCATGACTGGCACATGTACCCAGGAGTGCAGCGAGTTTGGCCACTCTGACACGTGCTGGATGCCGGGCCAGTCATCTCCCAGCCGCCGGACCAAGAGCAGCGCCCTCAAACTCTCCACCTTCGTGCCTTACCAGGACCGAGGAGGGCAGGAGCCTGTGGGTGCCGGCAGCCCCAGCCCCCCGGAAGACCGGAACACCAAAACGGCCCCCGTGCGCCTCCTGCCCTCCTACAGTGCCTTCTCCCACAGTAGCCATGATTCCTGCAAGGACTCGGCCACCTTGGAGGAAATTCCCCTGACCCAGACCTCGGACTTCCCACCTGCAGCCACACCGGCATCTGCCCAGACAGCTAAGCGTGAGATCTACCTGTGAGCCCCCTCTGGCCGGTGGCCATACCCAACCCCAGTCACCGGCCAGGCCCCAGTTGGGCCCATTCCAGGGTCCTGCTCCTGACCCCCTTCAGCGTGGACTTCCCAGCCAGGACCCCAAGTGGGGTGAGTACTGGCCTCATGACCACGCAGGCCCTTCCCCCAAGCAGGGTCCAGGTCCTCTCTCCTCACTTCATCCCCCAGCCCCTGGGAGCCCTTCTTCCCCTTTATGGGGCTCCCCCCAGCTGGTGCCCAAGAGGGCTCCTCTATAATGACTAAGCTCCCTTCCCTCGACTTCCAGGGAGCACCCCCTTACTTTGGGCAGATGGTGGAATCAAGGGTGGGCAACACACTTTTAACTCATTGTTTCCCACATGGCCGACCAGGGTGGAGACAGGATGTCCCCATTCCAGCCCTGATGCAGGGCTGAACTGGGGAGCCCCTCTCCTTGGGAACTCCCAGAGGAAACTCAGCCACCAGGGGCTCCCTGAAGGGCTTTTGTTACCAAAGGTGGGGTGGGGATGGGGTGGGAGTGGGCCGGAGGCCTTGTCTTCCTATACTGCTCCTGGGCTCGCCCACCTGCCTGCCACGTGCCCCTGCCTGATCCCATCTAGGCACCCCCCTTCCCTGCTGGTCATGCAGTGTCTGTATATAAGGACCTTGGAATGATGTCCCCATTTCTGCCTGATTTGCAACTTTTCTTGTTGATGTTGTGTTGTCTTGGGGGACCCCTCTGGGTGGGGGGAGGCTGCCCTGTGCCCCCTCCTCCCTGCCGCAGTGGCCCCCACCCCAGGCCTCTACTGTTCCATGTTGTAAATACCCCTGGGGCCGTAGTGGGATGGGGGTGCAGGCCAGGGAAACAGTGGGTGGGTGGGGGTGGGGATGGGGGTAACATTCGCCTATCAGCAGAGCTGGGCTTTTATTTAATTTTTTTTTAAAAATACAAATCTCTATTTTTTTGGAACTGTTGTGCTGTGCCCTGGGGGGGGGGAATCCCCGCTCAGGCTGGCCCCCCCCACATCCAGATGAGCATCACAGAGGGGCCCTGAGGCTGTGGGGGGCAGCTGGACAGGGGTGGGATGACTGTGCCTCTGGCCTGGTTGGGTGAGTTGGGAGCAGGAAGGTTTGCTTAAGGGGTGGCTGGTTGCTGCCTCTAATAGGGGGAACCTGCACCCTGCCCCCTCCCTGCCCCCCAACCCCCAGCCCCTGCCATGACTGACCCGTCAGCCTGTAAAACCACCATTGCCTTGATCTCAGGGGGGTGGGAAGGGCTGCCTCAGGGCACCCTGGGCTCCAGGCCCCCTTCTTCCAGTTGGGCTTCCCTTTGCCAGGGTCAGGGGTCCCCTGGGGGAGGGGGTGGGGAGATTGGGGGGCAGAGAAGCCCAGTCAGCCATGATGAGGTGGGATTCCTTCCTGCACCTCAGGGGGCCAGGGTGTGACGGGCATCCTATAGAGCCCTCATCTCCCACTGTGGCCATCTCAAAGCCTCAGTCCCTCTTCCTTCCAGAAACCCCCCACTGCCTTGGCCCATACCTCTCCAGCTCCCCAGGGGCCCAGGCTGGGAGGCTGGAGACTCAGGGTATGGCCCTTGCTTGACTTAGTCTAAGCTTGGGGGGTGGCCCAAGGGTGGGAGGGGTGGGTACAGGCTGCTGGGTTGTCTGGTGCCTTTGGGAGCTGTGCTGCTGGGGTCTTGACTCCTGTAACCCCAGACACCCCACTCCACCTCGGGAAAGCCAGGGGCCTGAAGAATCACCCTATTCTCTGCTCCTTGCCCCTAACTTGGCTTGGGGTAACAGTGCTGGGAAGGAGAGCATTGTTAGGCTGGTAGCCTCAGCATACACAGCCCTTCTATTGAGGGCAGAGGGTAGAGTGGGCTGGGGTGGCAGCAACCAGGTCTGGGGGTTGGCCAAAGGCTCCTTTCCCTGGGGGAAGCCCAGAAGTGGGCTGCGGGCTTGATAAAGAGCCTCCTTCCCCCTGCACAAACAGGGCAGGTGCAATAGCGGTAGAGTTGGTAACATGGTGTGCCCAGCTGGTGGGGCAGTGGCCTCAAGGGCTGTCCTGTGTCCTGGAGGTCAGGGTTCTGGCAAGAAGATTGTATGAGGCCCATTTGCTTGGTGGAGTGGGCAGTCCAGACAGGAAGCATTCCTGGAGTCAGTGGACTCCCCTGGAAGCCCCTGGTGGCCTGGGCACCCTGCCCTGGTCTTGGGGACCCCTGAGCACCGAGTGGAAGGGCGGAGGAGCATTTTGCACAATGGAGAAGCCAGAAGGAAGGGGGTAGCCCAGGTGGCTGGGAGGGCTGAGAAGCACAGAGGAGGAGCCCTTCCTACAGGCAAAGGCAGAGTTCCAGCCCCCTGGTTGGGGTCAGGGCGCTGGTCTGTCACCCCCTGGGTACTCGAGAGGTGAAACCAAAGGTGGGCAGGGGATGGGTGAAAGCACCAGGGACCACCCCTATTGGTCCTAGGTCTATGAAGCCCTTCCCTAATGCCTTGTGTCGCGTACAGTTTTATGTACAAACAGGCGACATTTGGCCAGAGGAGACCCCCCTCAAACCCAGCCTGACCCAGTCAGTGTCTTCCTAGAGGGGACCTAATTGGTCCCCAACCCCCTACTTCAGAGCATGTCTCTTGGTAGGGGGAGGGTATATGGGGACGTATTTCTCTCCTGGGGTCCCTGAAGCCTGTCTCACATCCCTGGGGGAGGGTCTCTGGGGCATCTCTCACCTCCGGGGGCTCCCTCGGCCCTATCTCTCCCTTTGGGAGTCTCTGGAGGGACATGTATTCCCTCTGGGGACCATGGGAGCATGTCTCCCCCCTACCCAGGCTCTCTGGGGAGCCTGTTTTCCTCCCAGGGTTCCTGGGAGTACTTAAGGCATGTCAGTCTTGGGCCATCTCTCTTCCCAGGGAAGGGGGCTATCTCTGAAGCATGTCTGGGAAGGGATGTTTCTGGCCCTCCCTGCATCTCTCCTCTAGGGACGTCTCTGACCTGCAGCACTTTTGGGATGAGACGGACAGCTCTGAGTTGTCTTTTCTCCTGGAGGCTCTGGGATACCTCTCTCCTGAGGATCCGGCCGCTGGAGCCATTTCCTCCCTGGATGTGGGCTATCTCCTGGTGTTGGGAAGGCTTATGTTGGCCAAGAGAAAGTCTCTTAGGGGGCGTCTCCACGCGGGACTTCTCTGGGAGGGGGGGACTGTGTCTCGCCCATGGGGTTCCCGGGCGGGGGTGTCTGCCCGTGGGGAGAGGGAGACTGTGTCTCCTCGGGTTATCTGAGTGGGGAGGGGGGCCGTGTCTCTCTCGTGTGTTGGGGGGGTGGGGTTCGGGGAGGGGGGTTTTTGGGCTGTCGGATGCCCACACTGGGGTCGTGTTTCTCTTGGTTCGTGCCACTTCCCACCGCCTCGCTCCTCCCGGGAAGGGCCCCGCCCCGCCCCCACTCCCCCCCCCCACCCCGCCCCATCCCTGGCGCTGCGAGCACAATCCCGTTGATTTGTAATGATTTCTGTCTCTTTCCGTCTTTCTCTTTCTCTGACCTCCCCCACCTCCCCCGCCGCGAGCATGCGCAGGCACCGCCCCTACCCTCTCCGGTTCGGTTCGTTTCCGGTTTGTTTGCTGAGCTGTCAATGGAAGATCCGTGTAATTATTCCCGAGCTTTACAATAAAAGTGTGAAAACCGGACCCCACCTCACTTCTTCCGGGCCCTCAGGCCTGCGTCCCGGGGAAACTGGGGACTCATTCTGGGATAGAGGCCTTGGAGGGAGCCAGGGGACGCGGCCGAGAGAAGAGGGACGGAGACCCATTGGGATTAATCGGTGCCACTCTGGAATGGGAAGCAAAAGGAAGCTGACGGAGGACAGACATCTACTCCATGCATGTCAAAGTGCCTCCCTCCCCCAACCTATGCGCTGTACGGGACCCGCAGGGCCCCACCCTGAGCTGAGATGCGGGCTAGGGATGGGGTGGGGTAGCGGCGCGATGAGGAGCGCTGGGGAAGGGTACGCTGTGCTGCTTCCTTTTTCCAAGGGGCTGGTATCCTTTCCTGTTCCGCCTTCATTTGGCAACAAGTATGAACTGCGGAATTGACGGGAGAAGGGCGGGAGACAACTGTTGGTCGCTATCTCCCACGGTCAGGAACCAGGATTGGAGGTCGATTCAGGGGACCTGGAAATGTCTCATCTGTCTCCGAGTGCTTTCCCCTCCCCCTGCTTCCGGGCCCGAGCGGCCTGAGTCTCCTTGGTCCGGCTCCCGGGTAAACACCGGCTCCAGAGAGGTCGAAGAACAGAGACCGGATCAGCCGGTTTCCCGGCCCCACCTCCCGGGGTGCCCCTCCCCCCTTCGCGTGCTTCCTCTCAGCCGGCGTTCCCCCTCCCCCACCAGCCTGGCTCCTCGACCCTGGGGTCGGTTCAGCGGCTGGGATTAGTTGAGCGCAGGGACTAATCCTGGATGAGCCTCCGTGTAAACCCGGATCGACCGTGGGTATAGGGGAGGTCGCAGGCGCCCCTTCATCCATTCCTATACGCGCGGCTTCGCAGGGCCTGAAGCCTCTCCCACCCCGACCCCAGATCCCCTTAATACATTCAGAGACTAGTGGTTGTGTCTGCCCTGAGGGATGGGCTGGTGGGGGGGAGCGGGGGCAGCGGGCGGGGTGGGGGCTGTTGTAAGAAGGAAGAAGCCACCAAGACCAGTCTCGAATATGATGCTCCAGAGCCTAGGGGCTCTGGGAGGCCAAGGAATGGCTGAGGCCTCTTTGGCAGCCTCTGAATCAGGTCAGCCCTCCAGTTAGTGAGCAACCCAAGGGCCCCCCACCAGTGTCCTCCAGTTACAGAATCACAAACCCTCCTACCTGACCAGGGTGACCAGTCCCTAACCTTGAGGCCTCACTTGATCAGAGGAGGCAGGCAATCAAGAGGACCTCACATCAGTCCCACTCCAGACTGGGCCAGATAGCTGGGGATAAGGGGCTCCTCTTAAGGCCTAGCCCTGAAAAAGATGTCAGGGGTCAAGAGATGTGGGTTATCCTGCGCCTGGCTGGTTCATTTGTTCTTTAAACATTTCCTGAGCCTCTCCCTTGTGCCTGCCCAGCAGAGTGTACTGGGACACCCCAAGAATGACACACAGTCTCTCTGGGAAAGGCAGAAAGGTAAATAATCACTGTATCAGGTGTTCAGCCCTGCCCTGAGCTGTAAATTTGGTCTGGAGAGCTAAAGGAGGTGCCTCCTCCAGTAGAGTCCGGAAAGCTTCCTGGAAGGGGTGGTACCAGAGCTGACTTGCCAAGGACGGATCTGGCCTGAGGCAGTTGTATGTGCAAGGGACTGAGGTAGGAGAAGAAAATGCTGTCCCTCCGGGGGGCAGGTAAAATTGTAGAGCTTGAAGGCAGGGGGGCAGAAGCAGAACTAGAAGGGCTTGCTAGGCAACCTAAGGAAGGAAAGCTGAGCCACTGAAGAGATTTAAGCCTCTGAAAGAAAAGGTCACATTCACATTCTTCAATCACAGGTTTTAACTGTCCTCCCTCCTTCTCTGCACAGGTTTCTCTGGGGATGCCTAGGTTGGGAGTGGAGACACACCCACAAACAGAAAGGCGAACCAGGTGCACTATAGGTTAGGAAAGATGGTCCCCACCTCATTCCCTCCTGCCTGGCATCTGAGACCTACATTAGAAATCTGGCTGGACTGCTTCATAGTGGCAGTACCTTGGGCAGGTGACTGCACCTTTGTTTCTTCATCTGTAAAATGGGGATAATAATGCTTGCCATCACAGAAGATTCTTGTGGGGCCTCAGTGAAACAACGTGTCCTTTCTTTGACTGAACCCACGTTTCACACCTACTATGTGGTAGGCCCTGTGCCAGGTGCTGGCCTTGCAGCCCCGAATTAGACAGGCATGATCCCTATTGGCTCTTGGAACTTCCATTCCAGTAGAGAAGACAGACAATAAACAAACAAACAAATGAGATAATTACAGATTGTGTTAAAGTGCCATGAAGGAAACAACAGTGGGACATGAAGGAGGATGACTGGAGGTGGGGGAAAGGAAGGGGCTGCCTTACTCACTGCGGCCTGGGCAGCTTCTCTGATGACACCTGAAGATGTAGAGCTCAGAACAGAGCATTCCAGGTTCAGGAAAGTGGGGCTGCTGAGGCCTTGGGATGGGAGACAAGAAAGGAGTTAGCCTCATTCCTACGAGATGGTAAACTTACTGAGGGCAGGAACTAGGTCTCTTACCTCTCCCACCCTTCTGGACAAATATAGGGTAAGGTAAATAAAAAAGGA